AAATCTAGAAAGGACAAAGCCTTTCAGTTGTCATTTACTGATATTAGGACTTGGCTTCATAAAGGCAAAAAAGTTAAACACCTCAATTTTTAATACAGATGGTTTATCTAAAACTAGTATTTTAGTTTGTTTTTCATGAGTGTTTCTGGAGTTGTTAACATATTTCAAATTTACTTTAACTCTTCCAGTATAAATAAAGAACCAGATTTCAAATGCATGCAAAGGCAGTGACAATTTTCGAGAACAACCATCTCTCCTCCTGCCATTCCCCTGTCAGCCACTTCCCTGGCACATATCGAAGCAACTTCCTAGGAAGTTGCATATTCATGACTATTCCTGGAGGGCATTTTAGCCTCCATTGTAATGCAGTGGGCAGAAGGAAAGAAGCCGGCCTCGGTGTCTTATAAACCATAAGCTCTGTGGAATTCCACGCTTGGGAATCTCTGGGGAATATATTTATTCTTCCTTCTTTCGCTTGTGTTAAAACAAAACAGTATAATCCCAAATTGTATGACCTGGTGATATATGTGATGGTTGTTAAGCATTTAAACTACTTTGTTTGAAAAATCAATGAAAGGTTAGTTAAATACGTATATGGGTCACCTCAACCCCTTTTAGGTTGCTCACTGCCATCAAGTCACACACGGAGCTTTCATATGTCAGTGTATGGAGATAATTTGATCCAATTCTAATTTCTGTTATGTCTTATTAGTGTCGTGACAACAAATTCCCAGTGAAGAATTGCCCAGACCTGTGTAAGTCTGATGGGCCTTGACTTAATTCACATCCGATTTGTCTTTTACTGCAGACAGTGTCACGCTGCTGCGCACCGGTTAGAAATGTTTCATTTAATCTGACAGCAATGCTCGAGCTTGTGAAAGATGCAACACCAACAACTCAAAGCAATTTCTGTCCGAGTTTGAAAGCAAGGAGATCCTGCATTATGTACTTACAGGCACTTGCCTTTTTTGCTGTATCATCTACTTCTTACATCATGGAGCGTCCGATCACTGATTCCTGCAAGTGGTTGCCTATTAAAAATCCAAATTTATCCAGCTTAGCATCATTACAGCAGCAGTTATTATTACAGTTAAGATGCTGGGACCAGTAAAATGTTGACTTACTTACAGATAAGGAAGTAGGATGACAAAACAAGTCTGGTCCTGTATGCTTTAAATGAGTGACAAAATGGCTATTAATTTAAGTCACAAGCAGGATCAGACCTAAAGGAAGAAACAACATGCTGGACAGTTTGCAAACTTCGGCAAAATAGTGTATACAATTAAAATGAGTAACTGTAAGGAATAAAATTGTATATTATGGAATATACAATAAAGTTGATAAACTTACCAACTTTAACTTTTATTTAACTTACTTAACTTATCAAATCGGTTTTGCCATTTTTGCTTCTTTGTGAGATCTTTTTGCTTCTGATGATTTGCTGTCTGTCTCCTTGGTAAGAATTTTGGAGCAAGTGGCCAGGAGTCAGTCAGGGCTCTTAAGCATTGAAAGAAATACATGTGCCTGCTGGCATGACCCAGTTTTTCTAAACCACCCCTATAATTTTTGAATCACTGGCATCTTTATTGGCTAATCAGCATAAACAGTCAAAGAGCAGTGATTGCTTTTGTCTTTGCTCCATGGCATTACATATAACACGTATTACACATAACACAGAAGCTGATGGATTCTTTCATACCTAGTAGAAAACCATTCTCACTTTTCCTCTGGGTTTTATTGCAGAAAGGATAATGTAGAAGTCAAAAATTATGCTTTCAGAAGATATGTTGCAATAGGTGTTTGGCACAAAATGTTTAGTTACCCTGACAAAATAATTATATCTCTGATTTTCAAAATGCCTCATAGTTGAGCAGGGGCACGACAGACCACTTCACCCCTCGAGCAGAAGGTCCTCAGTGTAGCTACATTCTTGCTTCTGTTTTCTGTAGCGATGATCCAACCCTCTGCCCCAAGTCTAAGCCCTGCTCCTTCCCTAAGCAGCTGTGTTCAGAAACATGCCATTGCTGATCAAGTTTTAATCTGTGCCCTTTAATTTCTGCCTTTGCGTAACATAACTGAGAAAAAACACAGGTATTCATTCTAGAAAGACTATAGTGCAGTGCCCAGGAGAAAAATATGCTGGAGGAGGTGATGAGGACATAAAATGATATTTCTGTACTCTGGTTGTTTTGTGCCTTGCTGGAACGTGCAGTTGATACCTATTAATTAACTGCTACCAGTTAACAAACGCATCCCTTTCCTGACAGAATTGCATTGAATTTCTTTCCAACATGTCAGATCCTTTTGTCTTACTCTTCCTCTCCTAGATCACATTTGTGTCTGCTAAATTGGTTTCTGGAACGCAGTCTCACACACTTGGCTTTTGCGATACCTTTCTTCTCTACAGGACACTCTTATATACTGTACCTTTAAGTTCCCAAATCAATTTAATTAAATTTCATTACAGGCAGTAGAGCTGAAACAAACTAATGAAAGCAGCCATCACATCAGGTGGTATTTATCTTGGCATTAAATTGAAAATACTCCCTTTAGGCTCTTAAAAATTAGTTTAAATATTTAACACTAATAGCTTTTGAAATTGTTGATGGGGATAGTTTTAATGAATTTGTTACAAACTGTTTACCTTTGCAAGGCAAGCAGCTTGTTTCTTGAGCAGAGGAGAGCTACAGAGATTTAGGAGATTTGACTGAAAAATATTGCTTTTGGAGTACTATCAAGTTTGGGAGCTGCCCACAAGTGACGTTGAAAAGAACTCTGAAATTTTTCACACAGTGGCAGCAATACGCCTTGGCTAGTCATTACTTCAGTGTAAACTTAATATGTGAATGGCTTTACTACTTTTTTATCAGAAAAAAAAGAGGCTGTTCAAAAGAAAATAGATTATCAGAAAGCTAACACAGAGTTAAGCAGTCATGGTTTTCATAAGAACAGACCTCAGAGATGGGGTCATGCTTGCAAACAGGATGTCTTCTCACATGTTTTCAGGGTCATTTTTATAGTAATTACTATGCAAGTTAAGGTTAATGGAAAAGGTAAATATAAAACTGTCTGTATTGCTTACAGTCTTGAGCCATGGATAAAACTAATGGACTCAAGCTATTCATGATAGCAGTTACTATGCAAGTTAAGGTTAATGAAAAAGGTAAATATAAAACTGTCTATATTGCTTACAGTCTTCAGCCATGGATAAAACTATTGGACTCAAGCTATTCATGATAGCAGTTTAAAGAATTTGAATTATTCTTTTTTAAAAATATAAACTTCTTAAGATATTTCTAATAATTTCCAATTTAATACAACTTAAGGACTTAAGGCATCATGTACCTTTTATTTATTTTTTTGTTAACATCCTCATTGCTTCTCCAGGTTGGAACACTCAGCTTGTGTAGAAGCTGTTTGTCAGAAATGAAAGATAAGATTTAGCAAATTTTGTTTTTGATAAGTGGTATTAAAGATTATCTATTTCTTTCTCAAGTTATTCTTACTACTTTTTATTAAGTATTTTTCTTCCCTACTATCTTTTTTATGGGACCACCATGGAACACATAGATGCAGTTCAGAGAAGTGTCAGAAACATACATGACCTCTGTGGACAAATATTCACTGTCCACACGGAAGAAAATAGTGACTCTAGTACCAAAGCCATGGCCCAAATTTCGTTCTTCTTTTCTTTTAAACTTACAGCTGAGACACAAGCGTGGTTATACAAATGGAGTAAGGAAGAAGCACAGACTTTGCAGTTAGGTGACAAGTTTATCCATCCTAATTTACTTCCAACATTTCTGTCTGAATTAAATACTAATACCCTCTTTCCTCCTGCTACTTTTAAAACAGAGGTTTCAGACTCTGGCCAAATTTCTGTTACTTCAAAAGCTTCGCAGAAAGGGGGTTTTCTGCTGCAATTCAGAGAGCCTGCGGTTTTTATGGGGACACAAAGACAGTTATGGGTGAAGGCAGTGGGTAAGAGGAAGATCAAATCAGAGCACTCAAGACAGAAAGGTGGTGCAGCCTAGGTTTGGGATAGGAGTCGTCTTTACTAGCCCCAAGGGAAAATAATTTTTTCATAAGAAAGAGGAAAGTCCTGGCTGTTTTTTGGACAGTATTTTTTGTGCTTATTTTCACTCAAGATGTCATTGCAAAATTTTGTTTAGCATCACACTAGGTGCTGGTCTCCATATCCTCTATGGTGAACACAACTTACTCATTTTTAAAGGCTTAATGCTACAGATCTGGATATAACATTAAGCAGTTAAAATCTGTAAATACTAGAAGACATCTGAAATACTATAGTCTGGCAACAGCGCTGGCAAAAGCCAATTTATTCTTTCATCATATTTTTCAAACTATTTT